CAAAGCGATGTTGATGCCTTCTTGCCTCGCAGCCGCCGATGTGTGTGTGTGTGTGTGTGTGTGTGGTGGTGTATCACATGTTTACACACAACCAACCGACTCTAGCAAATGTCTAACGAGTGTGTGACATATTCGCCTTTTCGTCTAGATAGGCAGACGCCGTATAGAGTTGCTTTTCCTAAGGTTGCCTAGCTAGCTGGGTATAAGTTCAGTGGTTCGTTTCACCAACAGCACTTTGTTAATCCATAGTTTACACAACTTAGACTTAGGTTTGACCTGTAGTTGCATTCATTGCACTGCTAAGGGCTTTAGGTATCGAGGGGAAAAAAGGATTTTACAGTGGTTAAAGCTAAACGATAACAGCTAAAACCTATGATAAACAGGTAAGTTTTTTAGGTGTTTACCAGATGTTGTGGTTGTTGACACTGAATGCAGATGTCAATGGCTGCATATTAAATAAGGGGAAAAGTTTCATCTGAGCTCAGTGTTGAAAAGTGTGATACTTTTACAAATAAGTAGGTCGTTTGTATTAGTAATGACTGATTTCGCTGACGTTATATTGAAAAAAAAAGAGGTTTATGTGCGCACTTTGGTATTCGTTTATTTGAAGAATACTGGAAGTGGAAAAAATTTGAATTTATGTAGTCGGTAGATGTGCACACAGTACACTGCAGATAAAATCTGAAAAATGGATTTTTTGCTTAGTTTACAAAAAACGGTTTAACCCTTTGATTTCATACCTGTTGAGTATCAAAAAATATCCATGGAACGAAAGTGAAATGAAACTTGCTATTGAAAAAATAGCCCTCTTCTTTCTCTTACCCCCTCGCTTTTTCAGCATTCTATATCCTCCTCCACATCTGCGGAAAACCGTGTTCGCAGGTTAAAAATCGAAATTGCAATGCCATATTAAGACGATGGAAGGATGAGGGAACAAGGCGGAGGCTCGGAAAAGGTAGAAAAAGTTTATAGAAATTTTTGGATTTTTCCTGAGACATCAAAGATCAAAAATGGGATTTTTGCAAGCTCTAGGCTTGTTTTTGGTTTGATTCGTTTTGCATAAAAGGAGTGGCAAAAGGTATGAGTAAGTGAAGTTGGAGAGTAAAAGATGAAACGTACGATGGCAGAGTACAGTAAATAAAATGAACAAATTCAGTTTACATCAAGGAAGTTGTGAAGCAAATAGTTGTAGCAATACAGGCAATTTTTACTGGTTGTATAAGTGGCTTTTTCGTGGCACCTCTCAATTTCTAATGTCTTAGACTGCTTGCAGGTGCAAACTTCTTCGAATGAATGAATCGCTCAAAGCAAAGACAGAATAAATTGTGGTAAATTAAGGATAAGTTTGAAGAGAGGCGGGTAAAAAAACTAGCAGCAGGATTTCTCACAGTTGCAAATCGTTTTTTTTTTTTTTCAAAACTTATAAGCAACATATTTCAAAACCTATACAAGTTTTTATATATTCAAGTGAACTTGAAGACCCAGCACGTACATAGACGTGGTGAACAGTTTTTCCACCTTACTTGTCTCAGCCGATATAGCCAATACAAAGAGCAGTATTGCTGTTTTTTTATGATTTCGGTGGGCAGTAACGCTTTACCACAGCAGAGTATTGTAAGGTGCAATAAAAACGGTAAAACAAAGACTGCATATTACTGCAATGCTTTTTCACACTTTTTTTATATTTTCAACAATACTTCTGGGTTTTGTACTGAAAATAGTACGTTTCAGTTACAAAAGGTGATACGTGGCTTTAAAGTGCAAGAACTACAAGAGCCAATTTTTAATCAACTATTTATGTGATTTCATCAAATCCTACTGTTTACTGCAATTTTAGTCCCAGTTTTAATGCCGCAAATCATTTGACGTCATAGCGTTTGTCACAGAAACGGGTAAACATATTCAATAAAATTGTAACTACACAAATTTTTGGCACAGAATTGCACTCAAATAAAATAAAAGGACTTCTCATTGAGTTATAATTATGCCCGTTTTTGTCGTCATGTTGCAGTTTTTCTTCTTAGTATTTTCGGGACCGAAGAAACGCGCTGTGCTAATATGCGTTGACTGAACAAAATTCATTGACCTTCTTAGCAAATACAAAGGCTGACAGCTTTCTTACGAAACTATCTCCTAATATCAGCTTCTTTTCGAGTTAAACTTTTAGAACAGCAAAAAAATTTGGAATTATAGAATGACATAACAGAAAATGTGACCTTTATCGATCGTTTTTTCTAATATTTCGATGTTATTCTTACGAAACACAGAAGGAGTGCCGTAATAATGCAATTGGGGGAGCAGTCGCGTATCTGACAGTCTCTTCAACTCTTTACATGAGAAGATAGTACTTTATTTTATTGTAGAAACAAAATTTTATTTCAGACTGATTTATCATGATGATTTTTATTTGGAGAGCGTTGTCACTAGCGATACGCAAACTTTAACTCATCTTCAAATTGGGTACAGGAATACAGGACTTTTTCGTGTTTATGACGACTTATACTAGGTTCTGGTAAAAGTCAACCAAATTAAAAGCATTCTCATTTTGACCCAGCATCAAAAATAAAAGATCAAAAAGATTCTACCTAAAAGCAAATAATTCCACAACATCTCAAAAAGCATACAAGCAAATTGAGTTCAGGCAGAACAAAGCAGCAAAAAGCCATTAGCGGAAAACCTTGGGCAAGACAGCGCAATAAAATTCGAAGGAAAGAACGATGCTTTGAAATAACTGAAGAACAAAGTTAGACAGCTATGAAGGAAAACAAATTTTAGAGCTTTATTCCTTTTTTGGAGAAAACTTGTCGTCGAAACTGTATTCAAATTAAGGATGCTGTAAATTAGCGCTTCTTGAGGGTGCGGTTTTTTAAGTTTCCATAAATTTGACCGAATGACCGAACAGATTTAATATGTCAGGAAATTTGAGTAGCTGAGCTAGAGAAAATGTCT